AGAATTACCCATTTGGCTTTGAGGTACACAGAACCAAAGCATTAACAAGAGTGAAAGTATCTAATACTCTGTTATATAAAACTAATTTGATTAATGAGAGGGCTGAGATGTTTTGGTGTGTGTGTGTGTGTGTGTGTGTGTGCGTGTGTGTGTGTAGACAGTGTTTGGTGATCCAGGCAGTGTGAGAACTGTTCTGGGGGTCTGATCACATTGAGAACACCTATAACTTTCTCATCTGACCTTGGTAAACTTTGAATGTTACTTAGTACTGTACCTGGCTCTTAATAAATGGATCTGCTTTATTTATTTATTTATTTATTTATTTATCCTCACCCAAGGATATTTTTCCATTGAATTTTTTTTGGAGAGGAGGGAGGGAGGGAGAGAGAGAAAGAGAGAAAAAAACCCAGAACATCAATATAAGAGAGACACATTGATTGGTTGCTTCTTGCACGACCCCAATAGGGCCAGGGATCAAAGCTGCAACCCAGGTACATGCCCTTGACTGGGAATTGAACTTGTGGACTTTCACCCCTTGGGCCAATGCTCTAACCACTGAGAAAACTGGCCAGGGCAAATGGATCTGCTTTATAACTGCTATAGAAATTGATCTCTCTGCTATGTGGTTGCCTTCTCCCTGGTCTCCCTTTCCACACATTTGGTCTTTCATTCTTGGGTTTGGGTCACAACCTTTGGGGAAGGGTGGAAAAAAGAAGAGTTGGCAATTATCCCAGTGATCAAGATTCTAATTCACTTAGGTCTATATTTTTGGGAATTGTGCCTATAGGCATTTTGTGGGAAGGATGCTACCTCAAGCTTCTTTTTTTTTTTTTTTTGGACACAGAAGGGAATATAAAAAATAATTAGCTACAAGGGACACAATCAAGAGTAGAAGATTTACACTCAAGCCAAGAAATATATTTGCATATCAAATAAATGACAGTCATGCTTGATGTCTCAGAATCTCTAGCTTATCGTAATCAGTACAGAAAGTGAAAACAGATGTTTTCATTTAAGCTTTGAATTGTGTTACTGTTAACATAAAAATCAAGTTTCTTAAGTATCCTTCTAGGTCCAATCTAATCATTTCTCTAGACAGAATTCTCAGAAAGGCCAATGGCATTTTGAGTGTGGAACTTGGTATTTTAACAGTTCTCCATGATGCTATATGCAAAGTTTGTCCATTTGCCATTTTGTTGTACATTTCTTAAAGTGCTATTTTTGTTATGGTTTTAGTGATTCTCATCCAAAACATTGTAGCATCATGTCATGGAAAAACCTGGATTGGAAGAATCATTTCTCATCTGAGTTCTTCCATTAATGAAAATATTTGAGCTTTCGGGAAACCACATTATCTACTTGGATCTCAGTTTCATCAGTTGCGTTGATCTGCTATGTTCGGTCTCTTTTTTTTATCTAAAATTTTAAGTCTTTAGAAGAACATGCACATCATACCTAAAAGGATGCTCACTCATTTATAGAAATTTGACATCTCAAGCTTTAGAGTAATACTGCTTAGTATTTAAAGTGAATGTCAATGTTGGCAGAGGTGTAAGTCTTAGATAAGAAAAGCAAATACTGGACTTCTGTTCAAGGTGGCGGCGTTGCTAAATGTGGTACTCTCCTCGCACAACGACATCAAAATTAAAACTAAACTACACAACAACCATTATTTAGAACCATCTGAAATTTAGCCAAATGGAAGTCCCACAGCTAGGAAATTGAAGAAGCCATATTGAGACTGGTAGGAGACGTGGAGACATGGAAGGGCTGGTCCCTCATGCACCTGTGGTAGATAAAAATCAGGAGAGGTATCTCAGCTGAAGAGATCCCCACCAAAGAGCGAGGGGTCTCAACCCAAAACCAGGCCCCACAGCCCAGGGTTCAAGTGCCAAGAAGAGAAATCCCCATAACTTCTGGCTATAAAAACCAGTGGGAATTGAGGTTGAGGGAGACAGAGGGTTTCTAGAGTCCCAGGCAGTTTCTTTCAAAAGGCCTGCGTAGGAATTTACTCAGATTCATCTCCTCTGAGTTTCAGTACTGGCGCAGCTGCTTGAAAGTCACCAGAGACATATGGGGAGAAACTGAATTGTCTGGCGTCAGGACAAGAGCTGGGGACAGCGGGTAGCTTTCTCCCAGACAGAATTGCTGGCAGAGGCCGTGTATCCTTTCCTGAGCCTTTACTCCACAGAACCAGCAGGTAGGGCCATATCTGAGACCCCATCAGGAGCTCACACTATTCCATCCTGCTGATTCCCTGAGACCCCGCTCCACCCAAGCTGTTCCCAGTGACTTTTTCATAGGAACGGTCTGTCTTGGTGCTTCAGATTCAAACAAGCAGCATCTGGCCTCAGTGAACCCTGTACCTCTCGCTAAGTGACTCTAGGCTTGACACTAGCAGCAGCCAGCCTTGGTTCATAGCTTGGCCTCACCTGGGCACCTCCAAGGCCATCACAAGTAGCAGCCATCTTCAGATCACTTGTAGTTCATGCTGGGTGGCCCTAGGCTGAACACAAGCAAAGGCTCTAGAGCCAACGCACCCAGTAGACAGACCATGTCAAACCACCACCACACAACCACCTCCACAAGTGACACACTCAAGAGGCAGACTCAGCAGACACCACAGCCCTGCTGAAGTAAGTCCTGCCTTGTAAGGTGGGCCCCTGCACAACTGATCCTCCAAGGTGGTTGGATGTTGGTGGTTGGTGGTCGCAGGCAGTCCTTGCAGTGATTGGCCTGGGTGTAAATCCCTTCTGTTGACTGCAAAAGAAGGGTGTACACAGCACACTTGGGGCACACCTCAGGTGCCCAGCTTGGGCAATTGGGGAGGCGGAGCTACTGGACCCTACAGAACATCTACATCAGGCCACTCTACCAAGCCTGGGAGACATACAGCTTGACCTAATGCATAGAGACAAACACAGGGAGGCTGCCAAAATGAGGAGACAAAGAAATATGTTCCAAATGAAAGAACAGATGGGAGTGGGGTTGGGGAAGACGACTGAAAAAGGTGAAGGGATTAAGCAGTATAAATTGGTGCTCGCTTTGGCAGCACATATACTAAAATTGGAACGATACAGAGAAGATTAGCATGGCCCCTGCACAAGGATGACATGCAAATTCGTGAAGCATTCCATATTTTTATGGGACTACATCAAACTCAAAAGCTTCTGCACAGCGAAAGATACAATCATCAAAACGGAAAGGCTACCCACTGTATGGGAGAGCATAATTGCCAATGATATATGAGAGAAGGGGTTAATTTCCAAAATATATAGAGTGCTCATACAACTCAACTAAAGGAAGACAACCCAATTAAAAAATGGGCAGAGGAACTAAATAGACACCTCTCCAAACAGGGCATACAAATGGCTAAGAGACATATGAAGAAATGCTCAACATCACTGATCATCAGAGAGATGCAAATTAAAACAGCAATGAGGTATCACCTCACACCTGTTAGAATGGCCGCCATCAATAAATCATCAAACAACAAGTGTTGGCGAGGGTGTGGAGAAAAGGGGACTCTAGTACACTGCTGGTGGGAATGCAGACTGGTCAACCACTATGGAAAACAATATGGTGTCACCTCAAAAAAATTAAAATTTGAACTTCCATTTGACCCAGTGATTCCACTTCTAGGAATATACCCTAAGAAACCTGAAACACCAATCAGAAAGAATATTATGTACCCCCATGTTTGTAGCAGCACTATTTACAATAGCTAAGATTTGGAAACAGCCCAAGTGTCCATCAGTAGATGAGTGGATAAAAAAGCCATGATACATATATACAATGGAGTACTATGCAGCTGTAAGAAAGAAAGATCTCTTATCCTTTGAGACTACATGGAGGGACCTGGAAAGTATTATCCTAAGCGAAGCAAGCCAAACAGAGAAAGACAAGTATCATATGATCTCACTTATTTGTGGAATATAATGAACATAACAGTCTGAGGAATGGGGTAGTCCCAGAGACGTGGAAGTGGGGTACAGACTGACAATCCCAGAAGAGGGGGTGATGGGGGAGAGATAAACCACAGAACTTGTATGCATGGATGCATGAACAATGGACATGGACAACAAAGCTGGGGACAGGGTAGGGATGGGGGGGATCAGTGGGGGGAAAAGGAAAAACATCTGTAACAAAAATAAATAAATTAATTAATAAAAAACAAAACAAAACAAAAAGAAGTATAAATTGGGCCCTGGCCGGTTTGGTTCAGCGGTTGGAGTGTCGGCCTGTGGACCAGAGAGTCCTGGGTTCAGTTTCTGCTAGGGGCATGTTCAAAAAAAAAAAAAGAAGTATAAATTGGTTGTTACAGAATAGTCATTGGAATGTAAAAGACAACATAGGGAATATAGTCAATAATATTCTAATAACTGTGGTGTTAGATGGGTGCAAAATTTATTGGGATGATCACTTAGTAAGTTATCATTGGAGTGTACAGCTGAAGCTAATATAAAAATGTATGTCAGCTATAATTGAAAAATAAAAAAATGATTTAAAATCTAAACAACTGGGTCCGAATTTCAAAAAAGCAAAGCAAAGCAAATATGATTGACTTATTGAAAAGCAGTTAAAACATTTAAATATATTAGAATAATATTTGTTTCTGTCTCTTTTGATAGTAATTTATGTTCAAAGCAGAAATTTTATGAAATTCAGAAAGAGAGAAAAAAAATATTGTAATCTCACTACTCAGAACTAATCAGTAATATTTTGATACATTTTCTTTTCTTTTGGCTCTTTATATTTCTCTTAAATTTTTTGCCATATATACTTTATTTTTACAATTTTGGGATCATATTGTTTGTGCTATTTGTATCTTGTTTCTTTTTCACTTGAGAAAACATTTTGTGCTGTTTTCCATGTCTTTATTTTGAAACATAATTTTTAAAGTTTCTTAATTTTTGTTTTTAAACTGTAAAACAGATACCTACTGGGTATAAAGATTTAGGCAATAACTAGTTTTATAAAGCAGAAAATTAAACTTTCTTTCCACAGACTACAGCTCCCTCTTAGTCACATTACCTGGCGGTAACTCCATTGAAAGCTTGAGGTATATTCTTACAGTTATTATTATTATTTTTTAACATAAGTATATAAATGTATATGTATGTCTGTGTGTGTGAGAGTTTTTTCTTTAAAAAGGTCATTCCACTCATGCCACTTTATGGTTTGTGGCTTTTCAGGCAGCATTATGGGGTAGATATTTTCTTTTTATTAATTTATTTTTGTTACAGATGTTTCTCCTTTTCCCCCCATTGACACCCTTCTCCCAATCCCGCAACCCTTCCCCCGCAGCATTGTTGTCTATGTCCATCGGTTACGCATACATGCATGTAAGTTCTGTGGCTTATCTCTTCCCCCACACCAGCATTTCCCTCCTCTGAAGTTTGTCAATCTGTACTCCACTTCCATGTCTCTGGGTCTATTTTGTATATCAGCTTTTATTGTTCATTATATTCCACAAATAAGTGAGATCATATGATATTTGTCTTTCTCTAATTGGCTTATTTCACTTAGCATTATACTCTTCAGGTCCCTCCACGTCACTCATAGGATAAGAGGTCTTTCTTATAGCTGCATAGTATTTCATTGTGTAAATGCACCACTGCTTTTATATCCACTCATCTATTGATGGACACTTGGTCTGTTTCCTGATCTTAGCAATTGTAAATAGTGCTGCTATGAACACAGGGGTACATATATTCTTTCTGATTGATGTTTCAGGGTTCTTAGGATATATTCCTAGAAGTGGTGTCACTGGGTCAAATGGCAATTCAATTTTTAATTTTTTGAGATAACACCATATCGTTTTCCATAGTGACTGCACCAGTCTGCATTCCCACCAGCTGTGTACTAGAGTCCCCTTTTCTCCACACCCTGTCACCACCTGTTGTTTGGTAATTTGTTGACGGCAGCCATTCTGGCAAGTGTGAGGTGATACCTCATAGTTGTTTTAATTTGCATCTCTCTGATGATTAGTGACAGTTGAACATTTTTCATATGTCTCTTGGCCATTTGTATGTCCTGTTTGGAGAGGTGTCTGTTTTGGTCCTCTGCCCATTTTTTAATTGGGTTCTTTGTCTTCCTTTCGTTGAGTTGTGTGAGTACTCTACATATTTTGGAAATTAACCCCTTATCGGATGTATCGTTGGCAATTATGTTCTCCAATACAGTGGGTTTCCTTTCCATTTTGATGCTTGTTTCTTTTGCTGTGCAAATGCTTTTTAGTTTGATGTAGTCCCATGTATTAATTTTTTCCTTTGTTTCTCTTGCCTTAGGTGTTATATCAGTGAAAATTCTGCTGCATGTGATGTCTGAAATTTATTGCCTACATTTTCTTCTAGGATTTTTATGGATTCACTAGTCACGTTTTAGCACTTTGATTTTAGTGAACGGTGACTATTAAGAGCAAGCTACAATTTTATTCAATCATTAAAGTCCTGTGTTACATTTCAATTGAATGTTTTCCTGATCTTTACATTTTGTGACTCTGGAAATACACTGCAGCTATTACTAAACTTTTTCCTAGGAAAGATAGTTCATGAATAGGCAATGTTTTGAAATACAACCAATGCCATTTAAATATAGCTCTCTACTGTAGGGTTTCAGTTTATGACAGTGGAATGCAGCAATAACTAGTCATGGAGGAATTAAGATTGTGATATAATGGAGAGCAGGTTTAACCTTAAGCCAAGATGCTGTGTTTATTATTCTTGGCCCTGCATTAATTAACAACCAGGATTACTCTGAGCAGGTCATGACAACATAGGCATCTGATAAATAGTGGTGAGGCTGAGCAATTCAGTTTACCATCTTGACATTCCATGGTAGCTCCATTAAACCAGGAGGTCAAAATACATACGATAAAAAAACATCTGACCACCAAGTTTGGTTTATGCCATACGGACAGGCCTAATATTCCTCTTTGCCTGACTCTCCAGCTATAGCAAAATGTTGGTATCACTAAAGCATGATCTAGAATCTATAACCTTTTCTTCACTCATGTGCTACCCAATTAAATTTACACTGGTAGGAGTCAGGGGAATCAGACTGGAAAGCACACATAAAAGGAGCCCACCCTACATCTGGTACATTGTATTTTGCATTATAATGCAAATGCCCCAAGCCTGTCAAGAATTTCAAGGAAGGGCCCATCTACCAAGTTTTTGCTGACTGAACTTTCCTTCAGTATGCAAAGGTTGGAAGGGAGAAAAAAACCCCCAGCAAATTTTGGGTATTAAAAGTATCCCTCTCCTCATAGATCTTAATTTCTGAATTTTATTATGGTACTAATTTCTTTAGTTGTTTATTTTACAAGATGGCTGCAATTTGTTTTTGATAAGTAGCTCAATACCTTTTCAATCAGTGAAAGACCAACTTGTCTACACAATAGGATGCTAAATTAAAGACACATTTCAAATACACATTGACACACAGTTCACAAATGTTTTCAGGAACATTCATACAACTGTTAAGACATCCTGCCTTGGTCCTTAAGAAGAGAATTTGACCTAAAATTGGGAAATACAAATGGAACCACGTATATATTTGGGGAAATAATTATATTTTTAGAAAAAAATGTTCTGAGACAGAAATGTGGTATTTGAGAAATAAGAACTTGTAAAGCACTACACTTTGTCAAAATTGGCATAATGAAATGGCATATTGCCAAAGTATCTAATCAGCATTTAACCTTTTGAGGCCACAAATAGGGAATGTTTCATCTTTAATTTTGAGAAAATAATTTTCCTCCCTTTTTTTTAAAGTATCTGATCAGCCCTGGCTGATGTGGCTCAGGGGTTAGAATGTTGGCTAGTACACTGAAGGGTATTGAGACGATCCTCAGTCAAGGACAGGTATCTGGTTGCAAGTTCAATCCAGGGTCCCTTTGGGGCTCATGTGGGAGGCAACCAATTGAGGTGTTTTTCTCACATCTCTCCCTATCTCTCTCTCTCTCTTCCTTTTCCTCCCTTCCACTCTTTCTAAAAATCATATTCTTGGGTGAGAATTAACAACAGCAAAGCATCAATGGAAAAATTATCCTTGGGTGAGGATTAACAACAACAAAAAGTATCTGGACATAATCAAGAGTTAAAAGGTTAACTTTATATATTTGAGTGCATTTATTCTTGGATTCTTTAAACATTTTATCTTTATTGTTGAAAGCATTACAGATGTCCCTCCTTCTTTCTTCCATTGACACCCTCTTCCCTGCTCCCACCCTCCCCTACTTTCCCCAAACTATTGTCTGTGTCCATTGGTTATACATATATGCATATAAATTCTTTGGTTTATCTCTTCCCAACCCCCACACCTGCTTCCCTCAGAGGTTTGTCAGTCTGTCCTCTACTTCCATGTCTCTGGATCTATTTTGATCAACAGCTTATTTTGTTCATGACATTCCATAAATAAGTGAGATCATGTGGTACTTGTCTTTCTCTAACTGGCTTGATTCACCCAGCATAATACTCTCCAGGTCCCTCCATGTCATCTCAAAGGGTAAGAGATTTTTCTTTCTTACAGCTGCGTAGTGTTCCATTGTGTAAATGTACCAAAGCTTTTTTATCCATTTATCTATTGATGACACTTGGACTGTTTCCAGATCTTAGCTATTGTAAACAGTGCTGCTATGAACATAGGGGATCATATATTCTTTCTGATTGGTGTTTCAAGTTTCTTAAGATATATTCCTAGAAGTGGGATCACTGGGTCAAAAGGCAATTCTATTTTTAATTTTTTGAGGTAACACCATATTGTTTTCCATAGTGGTTGCACCAGTCTGCATTCCCACCAGCAGTGTACTAGAGTCCCCTTTTCTCCACACCCTCACCAGCACTTGTTGTTTGACGATTTGTTGATGGCGGCCATCCTGGCAAGTGTGAGGTGATGTCTTGTTTTATTTTGCATCTCTTTGATGATTAGTGATGTTGAGCATATTTCATGTCTCTTAGCCATTTGTATGTCCTGTTTGGAGAGGTGTCTATTCAGGTCCTCTGCCCATTTTTAAATTGGATTGTTTGTCTTCTTTTTGTTAAGTTGTATGAGTACTCTACATGTTTGGGAAATTAACTCCTTATCTGATATATCATTGGTAAATATGTTCTCCCATACATTGGGTTCTCTTTTAATGTTGATGGTTATTTCTTTTGCTGTGCAGAAGCTTTTTTAGTTTGATGTAGTCCTATTTATTACTTTTTTTCTTTTGTTTCTCTTGCCCTAGGTGATGTATCAGTGAAAAATCTGCTACATGTGATGAAATTTCTCTGCCTACATTTTCTTCCAGGATTTTTGTAGTTTCACGTGTTACATTTAAGTCTTTCATCCATTTTGAGTTTATTCTTGTGTATAGTGTAAGTTGGTGGTCTAGTTTTAATTTTTTGCATACACCTGTCCAATTTTCTCAACACCATTTATTGAAGACACTGTCTTCTCCATTGTACATTCTTGCCCTCTTATGTATTAATTGTACATAATCTCTTGGGTCAATTTCTGGAGTCTCTGTTCTGTTCCATTGATCTGTATACCTGTTCTAGTGCCAGTACCAGGCTGTTTTGATTTTGATGGCTTTGTAGTATAACTTGGTATATGGTATTGTGATCCCTCATACTTTTTCTTCTTTTTTAAGATTGATGTGGCTATTTGGCATCTTTTTTAGTTACATATAAACTTTTGGAATATTAGTTCTAGATCTGTGAATTATGCCATTGGTACTTTAATAGGCATTGCATTGAACTTGTAGATTGCTATGGGTAGTATGGACATTTTTATAATGTTGATTCTTCCAATCCAAAAACATGGTATATGCTTCCACTTTTTAATATCTTCCTTTATTTTTTTTCAATGTCCTATAGTTTTCTGAGAGTAGGTCTTTTACCCCCTTGGTTACGTTTATTCCTAAGTATCTCATTGTTTTTGTGGTAGTGGTAAATGGGATCTTTTTATAGTTTCTCTTTCTGAGTGCTCATTATTGGTGTATAAGAATGTCATTGATTTCATTAATTTTGTATCCTGCTACTTTGCCAAATTTGTTTATTAAATCTAGTAGATTTT